TGTATATTTGAAATTAAATGGTTACGCTTTGATGGGAATAATTTATATACAATAATATATTTTTTGTGATGTCAACGAACACTCGTTGCCACTTTTGTAATGTCAACGAATACTCGTTGTCACGTTCATAATGCTCGTGGTAGTAGAGACTTTGTAATCGCAGATACAACTATAGTAACGCGGTTGAACAATACTGATATCAGACGCCTTCGAATAGCACTCGCACTAATATTACTTGTTCGATAGTACTCGCTCGAATAGTAATAGTGTAGTGATCAGTATAGAGAATTAGTATAGTGAATAGTACAGAAAATAGACGATAAAGTAGAAAGGGTGATCGTTTAGACGTCACGCTACTTCCTACTTATGCGTTTCCCCCATGGTCACGTGATCTACTTAATTCAATAATAGGATCGACTGCGTTTACTCTCTGGCGATCCTTGTCAAACTCCAGTGACGGCAATCGTACTTTATTCCTATATAACGATATTTCTGTTGAAATTTTAGTTTATAGGCGTCATCAATATTTAGTTTGTGGATACTGCTCAAAATTACACTTTATCGACAATGAGCTAAAATATTTTTTCTATTTGAAGCGGGAAAGATGTAATGAGGAAAAACGTTGTTTGTTATTAAACATACGCACGAAGATCATGCAAATACAATCTTACAGAAGAGATTCTTAAGTTAGTAGCTCGAAAAATTCTGCTTATAATGCTATAAATATTTCAAACAAAACTGGTGCTTACATGGATCGGACACTTTCTATACAAACAAGAAAAAACATCACAAGAATGATTTATAGGTAAGTTCACCTGATCAACAGGAAACTGTCAGCACAATAAGAAATTATCTAAACCAAAGGCAAATGAAAATAGATAAAATAGATATGATCGCTATAGAAAAATTACCTCGAACATTTTGAATATATTGAACATGTGACCCATAAATAGAAAACATATCCTTAAAGAAAAGGCAAAAATATGTATTATTCATCAAATAGTACATTGATTGAAGTTTGGGTCACTTGTCTAAAGTGATCGATTTCTGCATGTCACAGCATTTTCGCTGTCAACCATTAAATATCACCATCCCTCCTCTGGCTGGGCGAAGAGGTGCCAGTTCAACGCCGTCGCAGAATTGGAATTCTCCTAAACTGGTTGCCAATTAGAACTACAAATTCCTAGAGGCAAGTCTGTGCTGCTGCTGCTGATGATGAAGAAGAAATTGATTAATGCATTTTACAAGGGTATTTTCGAATGTCCATCAAACTATCCCGGTCAGGATTGGAAATTTGGCATGTCGATCCCAGTTTCCATGACAACAAACGATATGCTATGCGCTGAACCTACCGCGTACTTTCAAAATAGGTGCAATCAGCGTAAAAATTACCTGAAACAATTTCAATACATGCTAAGTGTGACTGGTAAACAGTAAACATTTCATTAAAGAATAGTCGACCATGTGCAATATTCGTCAAAGAATTTTTGCAAGGATTGAAGTTTCGAACAATTGTTTAACGTGATATGGTTTTATGAATTAGAATTTAATATCTTCGGGTCTGATGACCAGAGACCATTAGAACTAAGTGGGTTAAAAATATCAGATGCGCTGCATTAGAAAAACAGTTAATCACAAAAGAGAAAATGTCATGAAGGGGAAGTTGTGTGTCTAAAAATGGTGTTTCTCGCTCCGACAATTTGAGCTTGAAGCAGTTAAAACCTACCAACACTTGTTACTTAACTTACTTATAGTAGGTTAATAAAGTTATATTATATATATAATTATTTTTTTAAAATTTTTTTATCGTGGCACAGTAATTACTATGTTTCGAAACTAACTCAAGTCATAAGTTTAATATTGAAATTAAACTTTAAAATTTGTAGTTTCATTCTCAAGCGATGTTACGTGCTAATACCCTTGGGAAAGGTATTAATCCTATTCTCGCTCCAGCTATGGGTAAATAATAGGACAGACTGGGTTCTATTTGGAAGGCAACTGGTCTAGGAGGAGAACTCTGAATTCAAAACGTGCAGAGTGCCGTTTGGGGATCTTGTGGCATATAGTGCACAAGTTCTCTGTATTCGGCCCTTCAAAATGTGCGAATGGTTCTGCACAAAGCCTTCACCACTATAATCAAATCATATGTGCTGGTATTTGGCTGTCGGTTCCTAGGAACTGAGCTGCTTGATCCTCATACGTCCAATACGATGGGAGAGTCCACCATATATATATATATATATATATATATATATATATAATCAAGCAAAGCCTGAATAGTGCTTTTGAACACAAATCGAAATCCACTCTGTTTCGTATCCTAACGAAAACAAATTTTTAGGAATGGATTTTTAATTTATTTATGTGACATGATTTAAACGTTATTTTTAATGGATACTCATATTTGAATAGATGCTCGGTTTTATTTATTTTTTATTTATTTATCAAACAGTATATGTATTTATTTCCATCTACCGGCCTGAATATTTCGAGAAATCTTGTTAAAAAAATATGCGCCATCCGGAGACAAAAATGTAGTTCTACAGAAAGATGCTGATGATACCATGGACCGAACATGTGAGCAACAGCGAGCTTTGGGAGAAAATGGAAACAAGAAGAAAACTTATACTTAACGTGTTTAACATGTTTGACTCCTTTCTATCCCTCTCAGCCTACGTTCATCCATCCATTTACACAAGTTCATTAGGAATGTCATTTGCTGTTTCCCTATGTCCTGTTTGGCTTCAATATGTTCTGTCAGTGTTAAGAGGCAATTGAAATTTCTGGGGCATGTAACGAGGAAGGATAGTTTGGAAAACCTGATACTCACAGGACAGATTGAAGGAAAGAGGGACAGAGCATAACATACTTGATGGGCTTGAGCAAATGGATGGTAGAACAGGGGTTGCGAGAAATAACAAAAAGACAAAACTTATTAAGAGTTACAAGGGACAGGAAGATGTGGAGGGCCATGCTCACCTGCGTCTTGAAGGGACATAACCCTTAAAAGAAAAAAGA